TATTATTATTATTGTTATTATTATTATTATTATTATCATTATTATTATCATTATCATTATTATTATTTTAACATTTGTTGTGATTTCTGGAGACTATCCAAGGACCCTAACTTGATGCTTCATGACCCCAACTTTGGAAACCACTGGACCAAAACTTAACTTTTATAAAATAATCCATCTGATTTATGATCTTGTTTATGAATTATTATAAAGTCGACACAAATGCTATTATTAGGTAGACTAAAGAGCAAAGCATTTGAATTCCACCAACAACACATAGCTGTAATATTTTTACATACTGTATTTGCTTTTATTTCAGAAAAACCACATAGCAGCAAGAATAGCCACAGGGAGGAAATGCAATAACAAACCTTAGAGTTCTGCCTTCAGTTATTGATTTTGTACATTGAGCTTCTAATGGATACTGTGAGGACAAAATGCACCTTTCATTTTCAGCTTATATTAACACTGAGTGCTCAAATCAATATGCAGCACTTTTAAAATCTACTTCCTTTTTGATTCCCCGTTAAGCATAACTGAGAGGAAAAAGCCTGAAATCATCAGAGAAGACATTTTAATTCCTCTGCGAGARGCCTCGAAAATGAAAAGTTACATCCCTAAAACGGCTGAAAACACTTTTGAAACTGCAGGGGGGAGTGGTTTTGAGTGTTACAGAGGGGAAGAAAAAAATATTGTGAAAACCAGTAAATATATTGTTTTATCTCCAGCAGAGTCCCCACATCTACCACCTGTAAKACATATATGAATGGGATGAATGTGTGAATCCTAAAAGTCAGATTTGTAAGGTTCTGTTACATTTTGCTAACAGTGAACAGCTGCAGCACAGAGATRATTATGTTTTACTTGGTTGTCCTCTTTTTGACACAGATTCTCACTTTGTGCTTCTGTTTATTCCAACAGAGCTGGAAGAAGCTCTTCAGCGAAGTCTTGTGGAGTTCTGAGCACTTCCTAGTATTTTGGTGACGTTCTGTTCTACGCTCACGTTGGAATGTTTGTACTGACTCGTTGTTTTTACATAATGTTAAATAAATGTTTCCTGGTATTTTACTTTTGCTGCTTTCTTCTGTTTGCGTAAGTCCCGTCACCAGWTTCCGCTGCAGCGTGCAGACGGCACGTTTCAAAACGTTAGGTTGTTGATTTCTGCCAGCTCTTCTGTTGAGGAACTGAAACACTTCGGTGTGTGTCGACACAACTGTCCTATCAGTGACTCTGCAAGAGGCCTCGGCCAAACACGTGACCACCGTGCTAATTATGTCTCCCGCTCAGGTTTCACTACAAACTTGAAATCAGTTTTTGTAGGATTCGTGGTTCTCATAAACCAATAAAAAGATTATAATGAAACTTCATTTGAAGCATGAATTTACCTTTGTGTTTGAAAACTAGTTGGTACCTGTTCACAAAAAAAAACTTTTGACAACATTTGATTTAAAATGGGTCATTACTTAAACTGTTGAAGCAGTTTTAGTGGACCATGTAAAATGTCTTAAAAATAATACATTAAAAAAACAACTAAAAAGTGCATAAATGTTCAATGCCTGTTGATTCGAAAGCATGAAAATGTTTTGAGAAACTTATTACCAGCTATTACACAAATAAGTTAAAAGAAGTTATTCTTTTTCTGTTTTAATTGTCGTTTTTTTTACATCTTTCCCATAAAAGCTCTTGTACAATCAAAATTAGTGACGATTTCCCTTTTTAAATAGCTTTACACGGCTAATTGTAAGATTTTTTTAATTTTATTAACTTGATTTATGGTGATTTCATAAAAGTTGTTTTTAATACCTTCGTTAACATAACTAAAGGTTGGGTCTGGACCCTATGTGAAGTGAGACTTAAATTTAAATATGATAGGGTTGTAAAGTAACTAAGTACAAATATTTTGATACTGTACTTAAGTATAAGTTTTAGGTATCTGTACTTTACTTGAGTAATTATTTTTCAGCCTACGTTTTACTTCTACTTCTTACATTTTCACACAATTATCTGCACTTTCTACTCCTTACATTTTTAAAAAGGCTAGTAGAAAGTCTTTATTTAATTTTTGCTTGTTTTCATTTCAGCTTGTAAAAAATAAATACTATCCATATAAATTCTGCCTCTTAAATAGAGTGAATTTAACTGTGGTTGAATGAGAAGTATAAATATATAAAACTCTGATACGGTATTAGTTTGTACACAAACAAAGCATGTCACACTCCAACAGGACATAATCATTAAAATAAAAGGACTGTACGTAAGAAGTATTTGTATTTCATGAATTATATTGGCAATATATATTGCCAGCGTATCTCTGTTGTTAAAGCAATTAACCATAAAAAGGTTATTTTCATCCAGCTGGAGTCACGGTCCTGAGCAGTTCAGTCCTTGCTCACTCATATCAGTCCACCTGCAATGTGGCCTTGGTCCGTCGATCTCCTAGTGGTCTCTGCTGACAACGCCAAACTGTTATGGCAATATTTATTTAACAAAGACAGAAATACGTGGTCCAAGAATGAAGGTACTCCGTGGGATGATCAGCTGAGTTTTATTGCAACAGGAAACACAGAGAAGCTGGCCTGTCTCTGTGCCTCTGCTTCTCTCTGTCAGTCTCTCCACACTACTGTTGAACTGTTCACTGTCGAACTCTGTGTCTCGAGAGGCCTCATATACACTCACCGGCCAC